TGAAAAAAAGCTTTGAAAAAGTTACATTCGGAGTATAAGACGCACCCAAATTTTCAGCCTCTTTTGGGGGGGGGAGTGCATCTTATACTCTTATACCTTATAAATATGGTACATAGCACTTAGCAATAGCACTTAGACTTATATACTATTTTACAGTGCTTTAAAGCCCTCTCTAAATGGTTTACAGAGTCAGAGTATTGACCCCAAAAATCTGGGTCAGCATTTTACCAACCTCAGAAGGGTGGAAGGCTGAGTCAACCTTGAACCTGGTGACATTTGAACTGCCAAATTGCAGTCAGCCGGCAGTCAGCAGAAGTAGCCGGCAGTACTCCACTCTAACCACTACATACATCATACATACATACATACATACATACATACATACATACATACAATCTGTGTGTCTGTGTGTGTGTGTGTCTTCTCACCTATCTTAGTTGGGCATCAATGTCAGAAATCAATAAATGTTTTAATGAACACAAAGTGTTCTCATTTACACCAAGCTTTGCACAATAGCTTTTTGCTTTTATAAAAAAAGCCTTATGGGGCCTGGAAAAACTAATTTCAATATGTTTTTTTTTCCTTGCATAAAATGTCATCCTGTGCTACATCTAAAAGCATTTTCATATTTAAAAAACAAAGTATTTCAACACAATACCATATTAAAGCTCCCTGGTCCCAGACATATTACTGATACAAAATTTCCACTTGTTTAGAAATTAAATTTTAACTTATTACCTCTGGGCTGGAACAATGTGATTGCTTGTTGCAGTCACTTTCTGTGGAACTGCTTTCAGTCTCTGAATCAGATTCAGAACTGCTGTCCGATTCACTTGAACTGCTGCTTGAACCCTTGTTAGAGACACCCAAAATTCTACAACTGGACTGCTGGTTAGCAGGGCTGCTGTTGAACACAAATTCAGAGAGGGGAGAGAGAGAAAACAGTACAAACTACAAATTAAATCATATTTTGTTTTTTTAAAAACCATTTTTTACTGACAAACTCAAATGCAGAACTTTGGGTTGGGAGAAAAAGCCTCAAATTTCATAGGAAAATAAGTGGTAAATATAAGCATCCCAAACTTCAAAATAAACCCAGTGAAGCTGTTCAATATTCAAGATACAGTATGTCAGTTGGAAAATTGAAAGAAAAACTTGTAATAGGTGGGAATGGAAGGCTCTGCTTAAATAAAATGGTTGCCTGGATCTATGAACAGAAGCACTCCTAATGGAAAGATGGGCGAATACCCTGTAAAATATTGTTGCAAACCCCAGTTCCATGGTCCTTTTTGTATAACTGTTGAAACTATTTATTTAAAAATAAAAGGACTTGAAAGAAAACTTTATTTACCACAACACAGAACATGGATTATTTTAACTTTATTATAGTATTGTTTGCTTTGAAGAGGCGTCAATTATTTTGAGTTCATAATATTTCTTGTACAAATTGTTCAATGACAGATGTTGGCAAATTATGCCATGGACAGAACTAATACTAAAGAGAAATAGCTGCGGCAGCTTTGCTTAAATTAAAACACTCATAAACTATGCAAATCCAGCAAAAGAAAAGTCTGATAGTTGGAGCAAACTCATGGTTTTGGTAGTAACCTCCTGCCATGTGCTGAGTGAAATTATAAAAAGCCCTGATACCGATTGGGTCGCATCTCATTCTCCAGATCCAGCAACTGATCAAAGCCAGAATACGAAACACAATGAACTGAAGCTTAAATAAAACACCACTCTCTTGCCTTTCTGTCTGATGTATAGTTCCCAGGAGACCATGTAAAAATGCCTCCCCTTCAAAATACTAGGATCCAACTTTGAACTTCAGAAAAACTGACCTGGAATGTACAGTTGCTAGTTAAATGTCCAGATTGTAAAACAAATAAACGGGTTGAAATATTTGGGCATGGTTTTTCATAGTTCCATTAAATGCTCATTAAATGATGTCATTCAAAATGTGTGTAAAATAGTGGAGGCTACAGTATATTGTTCTTCCCCTTAACAGCATATCCCAGCTGCATTAAAGTTTTACTGGGCAAACATGCTATGTAATTGCTTGATGCTCAGCAAACATCAAAAAAGTAAAGTACCTTATGGTACTTTTATCCCACTGAAAAGGGCCCAATCCTGTGAACAAAGAAATTCCCAGCAACAATAGAATGGTAAGTAAAATATCAGCATGCGACCTTTCTATCAGCGTTTCCTAGAGTTGAAACCCATACGTCTTAAAATTCACAAGGTTGAGAAAGACTGATCCAGAATATTGGAAAGTGTTAGTATAAATGGAAACTTTATAATCAGGTTGATACACAGAGGGAGTTGAAGAAACGTAGTGCACCATTAATCTAGGACAAATGCCCTCAATGATTGGTAAAATACTGTTGGTGTACTTATTACCAGATAGAATGTTATGGCTCTATTTCAAATGGCTTTAGTTTTTTTTAAAAAATGTAGTAATGTAAGTATCATGTTTCCTTGAAAATAAGACCAAGTCTTATTTTCTTTTCAATCCCAAAATAAGCATTAGGTCTTATTTTCAGGAGATGTCTTACCCACTTACCTTAGGACCACTGCACTCACGCCTCCCATGCCGCAACATCTGTCACGCCACTGCCTGATTTCTCTGGCTGCTTGCAGCAGATTCCATGGGAATCATTGTGCTGGTGCCACCACTTGTAGAGGACACCGTGAGGCTCATGGCACTGGTGCCACCACTTGTGGCAGGAAGCTGCGTGGCATGTTGTGCTGTTGTACAGGTGAGCAGCGGCACTGGCGCGATGCACCATGTGGTATCTGGCCGCAAGTGGCTGCAGAAAATGTCAGGCGGCATTGCAACAGATGTTGGGGCATGGGAGGCGTGGCTGCAGCGAGCCTAAGGTAAGTGGTGCTGTGCATATGAGGCAGCTCCACCCCAGCTTGATTTTTATGCTTGCGCCTCGCTCAACCTCATACAACCAGATGGTAGGCAGGGCTCAACTATGGATTATTTTTGGAATAGGTTTTATATTAAGCAAAGGTGTGAAAATTGGGCTAGGGCTTGTTTTTTGTGTAGGTCGTATTTTCAGGAAAACACAGTATTAGGAACGAGACAGGGTTGACTAATACTGAAACTTGTGCATGAATTTATGTTATAGCATACTGTTCTTTTCAGAAGCTCTCAGTTCTTTTCTCCCTGCAGACAAGTATAAATCAATATGAACTAGGACAATTCTGCAAAATCTACAGTATAATGGTTTTTCCAGGGGGGCACTTTAATGATGTGTGTGATTGAGTACTCATTGTACCTGAAATCTAGAAGCCCAATTAGATCTCTAGATCTAGAAGTTCCTGACTCTAGGATCAATGGTCAGAAATGTATTCTTGAACATTTATGCTCCCTTTCCTCAGGCCAGAAATATAGCTACAAGACACGAAATATGATGGCTCTTGAAGGTAGATACAACCATTTCCATGAGAACAAAGATTGTACCTCTGAGAAGAATCTTATCAAAACCACTGTCCATGTCTTACTGTACTGTGCAAGGACGCAATTTATAAAGTAGCTGGACAGCACTGGTTTATTCCATGTACTTTTATTATTACTATCAAACAAAGAAGATTCTATTTCTACAAATGTAGCACATTTTGTTAAATTGACTGCAAAGGTTAGTTGCATTAAGGAAGAATTTAGGAAGTTTTCTATTTTGTTCCACATGTGTTGATTGTTGTATTCTGGTTAATGACCATAATAAAAAAAATATGTACTGTATGTAGAAAAGTATACTGAAGTGGAAATTAAAAAAAAAACAAAAACTAAAAAAAACTAAAATTAAAGTCCAAATTCTAAATGGAGAGATTGATAATACTCGTTCATGCTGGAATTGATCTGCATGTGCCACTGTTACTAAATTGTATGCTACTTTATTTTCTTTGGATTAGAAGGTTGATGTCAACAAGATCTACATGAAAATCCCGAAAGACTAGAAGTTTCTCTCTGCCCTATCTTGTCCTTTTTCTAATGATCCCCAATATCCCAAGTATGAATTATATGTGAAGTTTTTTCCAATATTCATCAGAATAACAGAGTTGAAAGGGACTTCAGAGGTCTTCTAGTTCAACTAGACCCTATAAGCGTGATGGTGAACTTATGGCACACGTGCCAGAGGTGCCACCCAGCGCCCTGATGGCACGCGAGCTGTTGCCCCAGTTCAGCTCTGCCATGCATGTGCACATGCCTCCCACCAGCCAGCTGGTATTCGAGTCACTGCCGCGCATGTACGGAGGGCGGGAAGTGTGCATGGGGGCATGCACGTGCATTGCATTTTAGAGGGTTGGGTGTGTACATGTGCATTTGCATGCACAAACATGCTTTGGGCACTTGGTCCAGAAAAGGTTAGCCATCACTGTCCTATACCATTTCAGACAAATGGATGTCCAATCTCTTCTTAAAAATCTCTAGTGATCCAAGCACCCACAACTCCTGGAGGCAAGCTGTTCCACTGACTAATTGTTCTGTCAGGAAATTTCTCCTTAGTTCTATGTTGGTTCTTCCCTTGATTAGTTTCCATCCATTGCTTCTTGTCCTACCTTCAGGTGCTTTGGAGGCTAGATTGACTTCTTTGCAGCAGCATTTTAGATATTGGAACACTGTTATCATGTCACCCCTAGACTTTCTTTTCACTAGGCTAAACATACCCAATTCCTGCAACTGTTTTCAAATATTTTAGTCTTCAGTCCCCTAATCACACTCTTTCTAGAGTCTCCACATCTTTTTTTATATTGTGGTGACCAAAACTGGATGTAATATTCCAGGTATGGTGTTAACAAGGCATTATAACGCGGTTCTAACATTTCATGGGGACTTGATGCTATATCTCTGTTAAGGGATACCTTGGTTTGTTTGGTGGCTGCAGCACACTGCTGGCTCATGGTTAAGTGATTGTCCATTAGGACTCCTAGAAGCCCTCTTGCAGTTGCTGCTATTGAGCCAAATATTACCTATGCTGTATCTGTAAATTTAGTTTTTCTTTCCCAAGTGTAAAACCTTATTTTTCTCAGTATTGAATTTCATTTTGTTAGATAGGATCCAGTGTACAAATCTGTCAAGTTCCTTCTGGATCTTGAGTCTATCTTCTGGGCTATTCAAGAGATTCACTTGACACTTATTTAAACAAAACCACATTTTCCACAGTTGGCCATTCATCTAGTTTACAGTGGTCTTTATGTAGCTCTTGAAAATCATTTTTTTATTTTATTAACAGCAGTAGTTTGGTATAATCTGAAACACAACCAGTTCAGCTCTTACCCACAAGACAAGGCAATTATGAACAAGTTAAAAATCACCTCAAACCACAAGATGGGCAGCAACTGTTCTATAGGGAAAATTGGTCATTATTACTATTTTTTTGCTTTATTTTTTATTTGGTCCTCTTAGACAGATTATTATGGGCTCTATCCAATCTAGATATTTATCTTGTCAATTTTGTATCAATGTTCCTCTTGTTTTTATTTCCACACAAATTTGTTATACTTGGAATTTAAAAATATTCACTGTACATTGCTGGAACTTACAATAATATCTACAATTCTATGTTTTGTAATAATGGACAAAGTGACTATTTTCTATCAAATCTTTAATAATAGGATTTATGAGCTAAAGTAAAGCAGATTACTGTCCTAAAAATATGTTTTTGGTAAGACCAATGCTTCAGAGTCAGCTATAAATGTACGAGTAATTTCACCATGAGAGAAACAAATGCGCAAAGACCCATATTTCTTAACTGCAGAATTCTGTATAAAAATATTCAAAAAATAGTCAGACTTCACTGTACATAAACAGCTATGTTGGGGTAGAGGTGTGTGAAAAGCTCCAGGAGTATTCTGGTAGGGAACAATGGAAAACTGAATGTTAAACTGCTTCAA